ACAGAGAAAGTTCTATGGGGCGTGGGCTCACCTAAAATAATTCCTGTACTAACAAACCTCTGTATAAGACAAAGAGTACAGTATCAGACAGATTGTAGAGACACCTATAAACTACATCCAGCCAAACTCCAATTTGGATTATCCTCTTGTGAAAGGAAACAGTGAAATAACTGTTGTTCCCTCCCTTGGCATCTGAGGAGGGAAAAACCTTGTAACTCCTGCCTTTTCTTCTTCTGTACCACGAGTATTATCACTGGCAACAGTAGTAATGACTACAAAGGGAACTGGCTTTATACATGGTAGGCTTTCTATCCATGTCAGGCTGTATACCTAGTTTATATTGGTCCCGGGTGTCTCTGCAGACTCCACTATTTCTCAGACCTATTTCTCAGAATGGTGACACTACATTTTCACAGTGACTCTAAGTTTCTTTGTCTCATTCTCAGCAGTACACAGTGTATCTGGGACTGTGTGGCAGGAAGCAACACAGCTGACTGAATACAGCAGTGGATACAGTAACCACTGGTCATACTGATGAAACCAGACATCAAAGACACTTGTACCGTAAACGCATGCTACTCCACACTAATTCTTGTTTAAAAAGTATTTTTCATTAAAACAATATATACTGGCAGATCATAGGCTGGTTATTTTTACATAGAAAGGCTCTCAAGGCTGATTTCTGAGAATACAGTCTGTAATTTCCTAAGTTTAAGAATGATGGCATATCTAACCTTAGATTTACAAGCTGTAGTTCTACAACTATTCTCGCAACACAAATTAAATTTTAAAAAGAAACAACAACAACAAAAAAGACAGTGACCCAAGGGGGAGCCTAACCCAGCCTTGGGGACAAGTCTGTACTTCCTGGCCCTTATTTCTCTTCCCATGAAGCAACAGTACATTCATAGTTAAGGATCACTCTTACATGGCCACATGCTAGTCTAACGGGAGAGCTATTCTATCAGATTGTACTTCTGCTTCAATCTCACAGAGTTCTCTGTGATCATCATGGTCTTTTAAACATAGGGGATTTTCTTCAAGTAAAATCCCAGCACCCCCTCAAGGCAACCATTGGCAAGACAGAAGCCCAGCAACCAGAACCTCTGGGGAAACACATTCCTTAATGGATCACCTGGGCAAGCTGCCTCACCAGCTAACAGCTTTTTAAGATGTCCTGACATTTACACACAGATCTGCCACTTTTTACAGATTTCCATCACTTATGGGCACTTATTTGAAGTCCCCTATTTGGCTTCCTTCCTAATTTTTGCTTTCTAAAAAGTCGCAAGAAATATTTGATCTGCTCGCGTACTTGCAAAGTCACACCTGCTAGAAAATTCCTACTATTCTGCTTGGTTCAATGATACAGACATTTTGAAATCATAATCAATTTTAGCCAAAAGCCCTCCAAACTTCCCATGCCCAGTTGACATTTCTACCAGCCGCAGATGAGATCCTCCAGCAACAAATCTGTCAAGTGGCTTGGGAAGGTGTTCCTGCTACTTCACCCTATTCGCTGATCAGTGCAATTCCCATCAGAACCATACACAACTGAGATTCGCCCATCCTTATTTCTTTAATTTGTACGTTTTTAAATGCCTCCAAAGACAAAATACACAGGCTGTATACAAAGTCCTCAACTAATAAACCTTCAAATACTAGGTACCTCCATAAAAATACTAGTCCAAATTACCTAACAGACACAAATCAGAGCCAAATAATAAAGCCAATCGCGAATGCCTAAACCAGCAAGAGCTGTGAAGGTGTACTGATTATGTCTCATCTGCCCACTCAAAGGACTAAAGGTGACAAATAGAAAGCTATCAAATCATACCAGTGGCCAAATTAGCTTTCATAAAATAATAAGCAGCAGCTTTCACATCATAAATGTCAATAGAACAGATGGCAATAGTAAGAATGGCTATAATTGGAAGTTCACTGAAACTTATATCTGACTAAAAATGAAAACATTAATATTTTAAATGGAATGTTTTGAATATAACTATTCATTTCAGTCATATCAGACCAGCATAAATCTTTGGTAATAATACATAAGCTATGGTCTTTTCCTGCAAATAGATAGTCTGAAAATGCATCAACTCTGACCTGCCTATTCTTCATTAGCTAATGGATATTCTAGGCTTCACTATTTCATCAAAATCTCTTTCTAGGACTGTGTGCCAGTAGTTTTAAATTAAAGGTCTCCCACACATCTTTGTGACAGAATAAAACCTCATTAATTCAAATCCAATTAGCTCAATTCTGAAATAGTATATATAATTCTCATTTGGCAACAAGTTGAAAATACCATAATTTCTTCCTCTACAAGTTCTCATAATATTATTGTGAAGTAAAGGAAATCAACCTGAAAATCAATTTGCTTTTCTAAACTAAGGATTACAAAGCTAAGAACTCATCCATCTTCATGGCTGAACAGCTCATGCTCAGATCTGGGGTTCCTCAGCTTATTAGCTACTGTATACAATGCAAGGGCATTAACTTGTCACTGCTAATAGTTGAGAGTGTAAGTATTCCTTTAAGCATACTGGATTCAGAGCTCTCTCAAATTCATTTTTGCAGTTCCTCTGATTTCCAATCAATTAAATTTTATCCTATCAATTATATCCACTATACAGCAAGACACGGCATCTTAAAAGATACTAGTAGAAGCCTTATACATGCCTGGCAATCTTATTCTCCCTTTATTCTTATCATTTTCAAAGATTTGATAAGTCAACAAATGGATCCCGGGATTAAGCAACACGCTTGGTGTGCTTGAGTTTACAACTAGTTATTCCCAGCGAACAGTGAAATCTCTAGCAGTCTGAATCACAGTAATTACAGTGTGACAAGGTCCCTCCTGGGCGACAGAAGTTGGCATTTTTCCCAGGACTTGTCACATCATGGGAACCACACAACACAAATAAAAATCCAAAAATAAACATTTTAAAACAATGGCTTATAGACGGCATAAAGAAGAAACTCCGCAGTTGAGAATTAAAGCCGTAAAGTCCAATCAACAGACGGCCCTCACTAGAGAGATGGAGAAGACGAGGCTACTGTCAAGGGCTCAACACACCTTGCAGGTAGGTGAGTGCCCTGTGAACAGAAACCCGCCTCCCTCAGGCTGGACAGAAGATCATTCAGTATGGGAACTACAGGGCAGCATCACCACTCAACCCACAGAAGCAGAGAAATGGGGGTAAGTAGAAAAGAGGGGGGCGTCGATTTTATGGGCCAATTAGCTTCTGAGCAAGGTGCCCAAACAAAGTTACCTTAAGAGCAACATTTTCTAACAACTGAGTTGATTTTCCCTATCACAACAAATACTGCTTTTTAATATGCGGTTTGCCTTGAGGTGAACAGCAGCTAAGTTGCAGGGGCAGAGTACCAAGGAGCTCGGAAGGTGTTTCTTTTGTTTAAACTCCTCTGCAGAGGCTCTCCAGACTCGGGAAGAGAGAGAGGGTCCAACCAACAATCCTCCCAGTCATCTGCAGGCAGCCTGGCAAGGCTCATTCTCATCATGGCTTGGAGGAGATGCAAATCAGAGTATCTGTCTATATGTTCATATAAAACGCTAACAGATGCTAAGTGTTACCTCCTATAGGGCCACGTATATTCCTAGCTCTGTTAGAAGATGGATGGACTCCTTAACCATTCAACAAAGCCTATCAAAATTTCAACTGGTCAAGTTTTGGAAAGGAGCTATAAACCTAACCACTAAAGGCACAAAACCAAAATCCTACTTCCCATTACACAAGCACCGAAAATGAAAATAAACACAGAAAACACAAACTCTGCCACCTCAAAGGGACACCTCCTTTCTCTTTCCTTTATTCAGCCCCTGAATGTTCAATAATTTCCACATCACTCTAAGCAGAATGGATTTATTATGATGTTACTCTAAGAAACGGCAGGAGTTCTAGATGCCAATAAAGATTACAGATCAAATGGAAGATAACTACCAACCATTGTGTCCACTTAGATAAATAAAGCTGCACACAAACAAAGCACCTTATTGTATGTGTACTGTTGCCTCCAGTAATCCAACTAAAGCAACCAGACAGCAGCTTTCCAGAGGCAGAAGGGAAGGGAAACCAGTATTTTTCATAACCTCTTCACACATCGTTTTAAATGGCATCCCTTTTCTGCACCCACCCAAACTGTCCTGCTTTTTATTGAAGATGTTGAGGACCACTGAGCCTCAGCAACAGTATGTAAAAGCTCGAATGTATGACTGAGGATCAAGGTGTAGAAAGAACTCATAGGCAACACAGTATCATTCCCTGAAACTTAGCTTTCAACCTTAAAGGAACACTCCCCCCCTTCCCTTGGGAGTCCCAACCAGAAGACACTTCAGAATGTGCTCCATATCTGCTGGGGCAGTAAAGTGGCGCGGGTGGGGGGGAGTGGGGAGTAAGTCCCAAACTAGGAAAATTCAGGCTGAAGTGAGCTGGAGGCTAACTCCCAAAGGGACAGTCTACAGCAACTGGCACCTAGTGGCTCAAACTGAGGCCACAGAAGCCTAGAGAACTGACTTCTCAAAACGGAACAATAACTCCCTCCAATGCATGCGTGGCTAGTAACACAGGTGAATCTCAATTTCTCCAGGAGGAGAAGAAAAGGCGCAAAGTGTTTATTCCCTCCAGCCCCACTCTCCAAAGCTCCAAACCCAGTAACTAATTGTACCTTCCCCAAAGGACCCACAGCAACCCAAGAGGGCTGGGATGAATAAACACGCGACACCTGATGGTCCTTTCTCTGCGCTGACTTTACCGGAGCCCCAGTCGACCGCTTGCGCGCGCGCGGGCGGCAGCAGGGACCGCGGGCGGCAGCAGGGACCTGGCCAGCAAGACACCGCGCCCCCGGGTCCCAGGCTAGACCGGCAAGCGCGACGCGGGGGGCGGGGAACGGCCCAGGGAGCGCCCGGGCCCCGCGATTGTTTCCTCTGGAGCAAAGACATTTTTTATCAAGTCTCTTTTGTATTCGAGCCCTACCTCTTTTTGGCCTAGGGAAGCTTTCGTGCAAGTGGAAGACGACTTTCTCCACAAAGTGCTGAATGTTACTGTGCTCCGGGCCGCGCACGAACACCATCCAGTCGTGGGTGAAGCCCTCCACCGTGGGTTTCTTCCTCACCTGGGCGCGGTGCCCCAGCTCCAGCTTCACCTGCACGGCACACTGCAGGCAGGGGGAGGAGAGACAGCCGTGAACAACAGGAAGGCGACTGTTCACTGCTCAACATTGCGCCTGACATTTTTTCCCTCCTCCTTGAAACGCACATAAAAGGAAACGGCAGTGCCCTCTGCATCCACGTTTCACGCGCGTGGGCGCGCACACCCCACACCCCCAGATACACCGAGCGGGGCCGCAGGGGCCCCGGGCGCCGCGACACAGCGGCCGGGATTGTAACGGAATGTTACCCCTAGTCGCGAAGGGGGTCGGAGAAAGGGGAGAACACGACCACCACAGCAAGCACAACAAACGCGTCGGTAACAAATTAAGAGACAATCAGGAGGAAATGCCCGGGCGCTTTCCCGGCGTGGGAGGGGGGGTGGCTGAGATGGGGGATCGGGGGTTTCTGGCGAGCCCCCTCCCCGAAAGTACAGCGGCGACAGGCACACGCCGAGGAAGTCTTTGTGTACGTGTGTGTGTGCGTGTGGAGCGCGGTGCCAGGCGGAATGGAAACTACAGGCAGCCTCTGCTGATGGGCACAAACTCCCGTGTTCTTTCTTACCACGGGGTTCATGCACAAGAATGAGCCGTCGTCTCACTCACACACACACAAGCCCGCACGAAAACACGCCGAGGCATCCATAACTCAAAGCACCCCGCACCCCTCAGCGATCAGCCCCCCACGACCGGCGAGGCCAGCCCAACACAGCCCCCGCTGCACACTTTCAAGAGCCAAAGTGGTCACAAACTCCCTCCTGCCCCCCCCTCCACCGCCTCCCCGAAAGCCACGAAATGCAGAAAGGCAGGGCTGCTGGCGGACCGCCGCCGAGCCCCGGTCGCGCACACCGGCCGCTGGGGCAAAGT